CTCTCTCTCTCTCTCTCTCTCTCTCTCTCTCTCTCTCTCTCTCTCTCCCCCCTGTTGACTCAGTCTTTAAAAGACATATGATTCTCCCAGATGGAAAGGTAAAGGGAAGAAAGTGAGATAACTGAAGATATTTTCCTTTATTGCTAAAACAGAAACATTTGGTATTGGCCCCTCGGCATCCACCTGTGGGGACAGAGTCTGTTTTCTTTTATTCTGGAGCTATACGGCTTTAACTTATCAACAGATGTCATCCTTGCTTACTCAAAACCGGGTGGCTATTTCTAATAAAAAACAGCTGGAGATAGTGGCTGCAAGGGTGATAAGAAGGATAGGAAGTTTGCTTTCCAACTCTGTGACAGCAGAAGGGAAATAAAGCCACCGACACAACTATCTCTGCAGGGAATCATTTTTCCAAGTGTCCGCAAAAGCACTAAGAAATTACAGTCAGTAAATTTCCAGTTGGGTCTATGGGTAAAGAGGATGGAGGCAGAAAGATCACATTTGGCTTGTGCTATTTTAACACTGATGGAGGGACACAAAGACTCACAGGAGCTTCCTCTGTGGGTGCCACAGAGAACCTATCTGCAAGGTAGGCTTTCACTCCACTGCACAGCTTTTGATAGGGAATTGTAAAACGGCCCTGCTGAACTGCTTCATCAAAAATTAAAAGCTAGCTCTCCTTAAAGTGAAGAGAATCCTAATGTGATTTACATATGAACCCAAGATTGTTTGTGACTGTGTGTGTATGTGTGTGTGTGTGTGTGTGTGTGTGTGTGTGTGTGTGTGTATAGGGGAGTGAAAGGTGGTCTATGAGTCTACAACAGAAGTCATTATGATTATGGGAAAGGGTTTGTCATAGAGATACTGGAAAGGCCTTACTTCTCTCCCTCTGCTTTAACCTACTATGGGTCATACCACAATTTACCTAAAAGCAAAAGGTATCAAGCAAACCCTCCTAGTCACTGACTTTATTCAACATGGGGCTAAATATATAAAATCTAAGAATATAGAGCACCAACATATATTGATTATGTTGATTAGGTGGTGATGAGGGCAATGGGGATGCTGTAGTTGTGATTTTGGTGGGTATGCTGAGGAGGGTGATGGTGCTGGGGCGAAGACAGTGGTTAATGATGGTGGCTGACTGCAGTAATCGTAGTGGTACTGATGCTGATATGCACTGCTAGTGATATGGAGATGAAGAAGGTGGCAGCCATGGTGGTAATGGTAATATTAGTGATGGTGGAGGTGGTGGTGATGGTAACTGTGACGATCGTGGTGGTGATGAAGGTGGAGTGGTGGTAGTGCAGGAGTGCTACTGATGACAAGGGTGTTGGAGGTAGTAATGATGGTAGCTACCAGATAATCCATGTACCAGACACTGTATTGGGAACTCCATATACATCAGTCCCCTCATGACTTCACTCAACTGTCCTGTAAGAAGGGCATTATTTTTAATCCCTATTATTCAAATGAAGAAAATAAGATTAGAATCCTGATTAAGGTGACGTGGTCAAGAAAGATGAATTCAGGATCTGAACCCTGACAATAGAAACCTCCAAACCAGACTAAGCTTTAGTATGAATTCGTATGGACTGGCTTTATACCATAGACTAGGCTTAGAGCATATTAGTTAATATCAAGGATGATATAACCTCTTCTAGCAAATGAAAAAGTATCGACATTCAGCAGAGAAAGAGTGTCTCTTGCCCATAATTTCCCACTTTTATTTGGCTATGATCTGGACTGAAGTTCCAAATCTGGAGCTCTTGCTACATAAACATGCAATGTCCATTTCCAACCTATCTATAGGCTGAGGAACCAGAAGGAGCATCAAATGTGGAATAAACCAAGGCCTCATGAAACAGTTCAGCCCAGGTAAGTGCTTCAAAGCCAAACAAGCTCAGGAAGTGGAGTTTGAGGCATTGGCCTGCCAATGGAGTGAGCCATCTTGGTTTCTCACAAGTTCTTTAGTTCTAGGATGATGTTTGCTGATACTGTGATGAATGATCTCTTCATTCATCAAACTTTCAAAGGAGAATTTGAACTATGAAGTACAACAAACACACAAGGTGAAACCCTCCTGGGAATCACCTCAAGGAATCTGCTGAGAATCCATGTCCTTTTGCATCGACTGTGCTTTTAAGAGACCAGTTTCCAATTCAGTTGTGAAAGATTGACTTTTTCAATGGGTGTTTGTGGTTTTGTATAGTACAGTGTATTATTGTATTTTACAGATATAAGATGTGACAAGATATAGTATGCTAAATTCCTTAATCCTAACATCCATTAACAGAATGTACTTTCAAACCTCTATATTAATTTTCAGTAACTGTCAAAAGGAGCTATGTGCAGACTGTGAATGACTGGGGTAGTCATAGAATCCAGTTCTAAGCAGTGAATGCTGCTCACCATTTTAATAGCAATGGTGCTGCTGCTCAGAACCAAAGTTTGAGTAAAGAACTTTGAGTCTGGCCTTGCTGTCCTACATACTTATGGGAAACCAGGAAGATACCTGAAAGTTTGAAACATTTGTCAAAGCTGGCCTAAGAAATTACATCTGTAAAACCAAAGTATCTTTCTGTCTCCTGAGAAGGGGCGGCACCTCATCTCCTCTTCACTTTGATCAAATCAGGTTTATTGAAAGTCGAGTTCCAAGAGCCACTTCTAGCAGTGTAAGGCTGCCTCTCTCCAATAGCTGCTGATAGAATCTGAAGTGATGTGGTGGCAAGCCACAGACGCAGCACAGGTGCAGAGCCTCCAGAGTGACAGTTCCATGTCCTTGAGTGTCACTGGAAGGAGGTATAGAACCCTTCCTGGATAGACGGTTTGGGCTACTATAACCTTAAATCTCAATCAATCTGATTTCAAGCATGGCTTGGTTTTGTTTCATAGTGTGACTTCTCAGTGTGTTTGATTGGTGACCTCTTTGGATCTGTGGCATGTAGGCAAATGCAGTGACATTTTGCTTAAAAGAGTAAAACATCAGGACTTCATTTCACTGAAAAATTATTGTGTGTGTGAATGTGTATGTGTGTGTATGCTTGTGACAGAGAGTGTGGGTAAGAGTATGTTTGTGTGTATGAAAGAGACAGTATGAATGTGTGTATGTGTGTGAAAGAGACTGTGTGTGTGTGTGTGTATGTGTGTGTGTGTGAGAGAGAGAGAGAGAGAGAGAGAGAGAGAGAGAGAGAGAGAGAGAGAGAGAGAGAGAGAGAGAGAGACGTGTCTACTCCAGAGGACCAATGTTTTTAGAAACTCAATCCCCATTAGGTGCTGTTGACTGGGCCCCATCCTAGCGCCATCATCAACTCAGAATGTATCACTGACTAAGTAAGACAATTATTCGCCATGTTCCCTCATTTTGGTGTATGTCGAAGGTCATTCATCCATGAGAAAATGCAAAATGCAAAATAGAAAGGGGCAAAGAGAGATTGTATAAACACTGGTAACTGGTGAGATGGTTCAGGCAAGGTGACAGGGTATCAATATTGGCAACATAGTAACAGGCATGAAAAAAAAAACATGCAAGCATTAGGAGCAATCACAGACATGGGGACATGATATGAATACTGTAACACAGCACAGGCAAGGAGACAAAGCACAAACACTGGGGTACAACAGCGGTAAAGAACAAGCAAGAGGGAAAACCTTACAGGTGAAGGAGATAAAAAGGACAGATACCTACCCAGACCTGCGCTATCTAGCTACCGTCTTGTGGACTTATATTATCACCACTGGGCTCACCACTGGGCTCCCCAAATGGATCACTGGTGGAGGAGGCCTGTGATCCATCAGGCTAGAACACAAGAAGATAACACTTTTTTTTTCTCTCTTCAACAACTGAAAATAAAGGCAACTAAGATTATATTCATGTGGTACATATGCAACCAGTTATTTTACAGGAGGCTGAAACTTTAGCCAGAGGATGCCACCTCCCAGATGTGAGAGCTCCAAACAGCTTAACAAAAGGTCAGTGTTTCCGGTGGATACACCCTTCAGTGGCTCTTCAAACCTCCACTCAGAGCTGGCACTCTCTTTTATGTTGCTGCTCTTATTGTCTATGGGCAAATTTTAAGGTTAAGGAAAAGTAGAGCTCTCAGCAGGTCACTTACAGCTTCTTGTTCTTCACTCTTGCTGGGACTTTCAAAGCCTTCTTCAAAGATGTCATCTGTGGTCGGATCACTGACGTGGGATGCTGATGATGATTTGGATGGAGAACTCTGCCTAGGGGCTGGGGTTGGAGCTACACAGAGATCATAGCAAAAGAGGGAATGACATAAATATACATAAAAGCCACAACCATTTAAATCCCATAGAGATACCTGTGGTCTATTTATCCTTGAGTCAAGTCTTCCTACTTCCCATCTCAAGCCCAATCTGAGCATCTAAATTCCTCCCATGATTAAGGAACCCCCAGTCCTCGGACCCCACTGGAGAGTCACTGAATCAAGGACTCCAAACAACTCCTACAGTGCGTCTGACACACAAGCAAGCTGCAAACTGCTGGGCGTGGCTGACTCTCTTCTCTCTCTCTTATCAGAAGGCGTATTTTTGAATGACTCTTGTGGATCAAACACTCAGTGTTTAATAAGCACAGGGTGGATTGGAAGAGACAATGATAAGCTTTTTGTAAGGAATATGCATTTGTTGCCATGACCCTCCACTGTCTTCCTCTTTTTATTTGTTCCTGAGGTTTCTAACACATGACAGTGGAAGCTCTTCTTTTCCTAATGTTTAACTTAGCATAGGAAATTCCGATCATTGGCTTAGTCCTAATGCATGGATTGATTGAGTAGGTGAGTAGTAGTGCCATTGATAAGGCTTCCCCATTATGCTGTTTTAGAGTTTAGCAAAAGTCTGGTATTTTATCAGACAATGGATGATTGCAAAAGTTCATGCTGGCCGTTAACCCCATTTCCAGCTCCTTTACCATTCACAATATGGGATGAGGCTAACCCTGGCTACACTCTCTCCCTTCATTATTCTTCTGATACAAATGACTAGATGAGGTATTGTATGCTTCCTTCAGCTATTAGGAGCCAGAGTCCAGAGGGACATGGGGGATCATTTATACCAACACAGGTATGGGGATGAGCCATGGAATGTGGCACAGATAGATATAACACTATGGAGTCTTTTCTGTTTGAGATGTTTTGGTTTTACATTTTGCTTCTTTTGTTTTCTTATGACTCATCTCTCAGTCAGTCCCGTTTTGAAGGAGTGCTGTCAGGGAAGACTATGAGAAAATTGACTTTACTCATTTTCTTTAAAATGAAAGATTGTGTATTACTAGTTGTTTTGTGAGTTGGTTTCAGAGCAAACTAGCAATACTAGGTTTAATGCTGTATAAAGATGCTTCACTGAGTGGGTAATATTAGCTTCATTGGGTTCTGAATTGTGTTTAAGTGGCTTATTGCTTACAAAATGCTAAGAACCCCTGAGTCTCCTAACAGTATACTGCCCAGCATTCCCCAGTGGAACCAGCAGGAGCACAGCTAGAGGTTATTTATGCAATCATCTCAGTTGTAGCAAGGGTTTACAGGCAGGGCACTCAGTATTCCAAGCCTGTGTTCTCTCAAGGTGGGTGGGTGAGGTCACACCCACAGGGAATATGTGGCAATGTCTGGAGTTATTATTGGCTATCATGACTAGAAGAAAAGAATGAAGATGCTGTTTGCATCTGGTGGGTAGATGATAGGGTGCTACTAAGTAAGAATCATCTGTCTTCAAATGTCAGCCATGACACACTGGCCAAACCTTGCTCTCAGACACAGTTTTGGTGACAAGGTCTTTTGGGCAACTAGTTTCATCGCCTTTAACCTTTCCTAATATCTGTATGTGCGGGCCTCCTGCTACCATTCTGAGACGTGTTCCAGGATAGTGACAAGATAGTCCTGGCCCTCAAAGAACTTCCTTGTTTGTAGGCAGCCCATGGTTCATTGAAAATGAGGCATGCGTTTTAAAAAGACTCTTGTTCATTTATGCATGACTGTTATTTCTCCAGCATTTCATTTTTTATTCATTATTCTTCATTGAAACCCCATGGATTAGAATTAATAGAAATGCCTTGGCTATGTAGCACCCATGGCCTGAGTGCAAGGCCTTCATTTGCAGAATAGCATTCTGAGCCTGGCTGAATGACACAATCTAATTGTATTCACATTAATTTTTTTTGACAATTCATAGTATTGGCCATCCAGTGATCCATATCACCGGTGACAGTAATGAAAACGGCAAAGTCATTGTACCATGAGCCTTTTCTTTCTCCTTATCAATTGTCAAAGTACAGGCTGAGTCACTGGAACACTTTTTCCGATTGTGTCTGACAAGCACACGTGTGCTCAAGTGTGTCTGGCTTCTGACTCGGCAGCAGGCTTTCTATTTTTGGTGTTTGCAAGAGGAAAGTAAGGTGGAAGCAGTCTCCTAGTGCTGAGGCCAGAGGGAAGCTGCTGCTCTACAAGGAGTCCAGAGACTCAGGGCAGCGACTTGCTTTGTCTAAGACACAGCTTGTCATGATGGGAGCCAGCACTAGAAACCTGGCCCAGGGAGCTGCAAAAACAAAACAAAAACACACAAAAACAACAAAACCCCCCACTGAACAAGAACACAAAGATGAAGATCCTAAGATCCTTCTATGTTGTAATGCCTTTAAATAATTGACTTAGAGCTAAGAAACACAAAGCCCACAGAGGCAAGCCTGTTGTTCCAAAGCAAAGGTCAATAAGGATTAAGCATACTGCCGTGTTCCCAGCCAGGGCTCACTGTCCACTCTGCCCATCATGACCTCAGCAACTCTGTAAACTCTGCCTTGCATTTTTCTGTGATCTTAATGCCTTTTCTAATTTTAAGCCTTGTTTCTAAGCTTTATCATTTGCATGTATGTATGTATGCATGTATGCACGTATGTATGTAAGTTTGTAAGTTAGAAAAAACTTTTGGAAGTCAGTTCTCTCCTTCACACAAATCTATGTGATAGATATCAATCCTATATAAAAAGAGACGTAGATGGTAAGGGGCTCATGTATGTGCTATAACTGGTATCTGAGTTGGTTGCTATGGGGATAGTTATCACTGACATCTGCAAGCATGAGATGCCACTAAGATCAGTTCTGACCCCAGGATTCTGGAGACTGAACTCTGGTCTTTAGGCTTACTGGCAAACATCCTTACCTTCTGAGCTCTTTCTGGCCCTTTGTTTCTACTTAAAAATATTACATTTGTTCTCATTTTAATATGCCATGCTAAAATGTGTGTGCCATAAGCTAACACATACAGAAACATGAGTGAGCATATCAACAAAGTCCTAAGAAGGATGGTGACATTATGACAAATGCCAGACATGTGCTCATCTGTACTATGGTCTGCAAACCTTATTGTCATTATCTGTCACAGGGATCTAGTGCAACTTGGTATCAGTGTTATGTAAAAAGAGACCTAGAGGGTAAGGGGCTCATGGATGTGCTATAACTGCTAGTGAGTTGGTTGCTATGGGAACAGTTATCAGTGATACCTGAAAGCTTGAGATGCAAGTGAAATAGATCTACCCCCAGTAGTTTAAGTTACAGGAAATAAGCACTATACTTGTCAGGTTTTAGAATTCGGTGAAAGAATACTCACGTGAGTTGGTAGATGGTGTGGTAGAAGTCACAGGGGTCAAGTTCAATTGGGAGATGTCAAAGTCATCACAGTCGTCTGTATCCTGTGCCACCCCGACTTTGTTGAAATAACTGGAGAAGGCCTCTGAGGTACAGGTCAGGGAGGGCTGGTCAGGCTTTCGAGAGGGTACAGGTGGAGGCTGGGCCATCTGGAAATCCTTAAACATTTCCTTCCCCATTTTCTGCCTGGGCTTGTCACTCTGTGGACTTGACCTGGCAGAGTCATTCGTGCCTGGGACTGTTGCAAGGGGGGTGAGGGGACCTTGGAACATGGCAGCTGGTAAAGGCATAACAGTTTGTGTGGGCATGAAGGCGGCTGGCGGGAACTGCCCGGCCACAGTTGGCCAGGGTTGCTGGGTGGCAGGAAAGAGACCTGGCTGGCCCCATGCGATGGGCTGAGCTCCTGGTATCACCTGAGCGACGGGTGGCTGAGCACCCATGGCGATCTGCTGTTGAACAAGGGGCTGCTGGCCCCAGAAGGATGGGAGGACGGCGCCCATAGCGACATAACCTGGAACAGGAGAAAGGAGGGTCAGACATCCCAGAGAAGGAACATCTATGAATTTGAGTGATTGACAGAAATGAACTGCCCATGTACAGAGTCCTAGACTATACTAGGACTTCTTGGGTCAACTCTGGATGTTGACCTACTGGTGGAGAGGCCAGACAGACCTCTCATGGGAGATGTCCTAAGTAGGGAATGAAACACAGCTTGAATCTAGGAATAACAACAATTTCCCATTGCATCGCTTTCCTGAATCTCACAGTTCAGGAAACAGTGTCTCAGCGAAAGGGGCAGGAGACTGAAAAGTAGCCTAGTCTACATGCCTCTACTTGGTGAACTGGGAACAGTCTCGATTGCTGAGGCCATTGGGAGCCAGTCTCTGCTCTACAGCCAGGCATTAAGAACTAATTTTTGTTAAGTTTCTCATCAGGCAGGCAGTGTGCAAAGTGAAAGACAGAACTTCAGAGGTATAGATGAAAAGCCAGAGCACTGCTTCCTCGGATGTGTCATCTGGGATCACCCCTTACCACCCTAAATGCTCCAGGCTCTTATCTATAAAATGGGCATATGTTATCTCCTATTTCTGTGGGCTGATCTGAAGGTTAATATAATTCAGCATTCAAGGGATTATTGCACCTGACATAGAGTGAATGTTCAGCAAACGTTAGTTACTCCTGTAACATGGCCCAGATAAATGCTGAAAGGTACTTGATGTCTGGCTTTTTGTGTAACAGACAACACCTTACTTTGGGAGTGGGAATTAGGATGCATTATTTCTGTATTAGTACTTTTTCAAGTTTACAAAATAAAAATTGGAGGTTATTAATCCAATGAGGAGCCCTCATGCCATGTTAGTTTGGTATTACAAAAGCACCAAGGCAGGTTCCCGTGTTTATCACCATGGTAACTATTTGGCCAATTATTCTTTTGGGGTTATTGCAACAGGAAGGGAAATGCTATTTGTTAAAACAGTACTATCTGAAGCAGTGATTTCCATTCATTAAATCTGTACAGTATGCATGGTCTACGGTTCCACATTTTCACAGAATCCTCGAATGTTAGTTGCCATTATGCCCATTGAGGAAAACTGGTGGTCAGAGAGGAGAGGTAAGTTGCTTAGGGTTACACAGCTTACATAAGGTAGGATCCAAACTGAGCTGAGTCCATCTCTAGTCAGAATTCTCTTCCTTGTGTTATGTGCAGTCATCCAGATGGCCAACACCTATTTCGGGTCTTTCACAGCCACTGGATCTGGGCTACTATGTCAGCATACTGTGGGTCCACTGGAAATTCTTACATGCTTCCAGTAGTCCTCATGGTTCTCAGGGGGGATAGTGGTCACTTACATGGACTTCTAAGCCTAAGAGACATGTGGCAGTTCAGCCATGGCAGAGGGTAGATAAGCTAGCCTTTCCAAAGAAGCATTTCAATGGCTGCCAGAATAAAACTGTAGGTGCAAAACAGTGAGATCAGAACAAAATGGGAGAGGATTTAGGCTATCCTAGCAACATGCAAAAGGATGACTGACAGGTGCAGTGGCAATGATAACATCTTGGTTCATGCCCGTGACGCTTCTGAGCCCACAGTGATCACATATAGGAGTTCTAGCCTCACTTCAACTGCCCCTCAACCAACTGAAGCTGGATCAAGTCAACATTCAAAAGTCTGGTCATTTCAACATTCCCTTGCCAAGCTTGCCACGCTGCCCCAGGAGGAAGCTTTAGACAAGGCACAAGGACTTCTTGCTGGTGAATCCAGCCAGTGTCAAAGGCTTTGAAACAAGAAAACAGACAACATCTTTGTAGAACTCTAAGTCCAGTTGTACTGGGGAACACCATTCAAACTTGTGATTTATTCACACTGTTTCATAGCTCACCTACGAACGTGGTGCCATGACCTCCAACACACTAAGAGACAATTGGGCCACTTGTTTCTCTTGTTCTCCGATCTACTTTGACAGAACTAAATAATTCTCAGAGGGAATGCTGTTGCCCCCTAGGGGTGAAGAGAAAAATCAGTGGGATGTTTTAGTTGTTATGGTAACGGTAGGGAAGTTTGGCCTCTCATGGTTTTTAAGGGGCTACCAGCATTGATAACAGATATCTATAACTTGTGAGACCAATGTACAGGACAATGACTTATGCTGCCTCCTGATGTAAGCCTAGACAAACCAAATGGCTCAGAAATTTAGTTTCTCTGCACACATAGTCAACACCTGTGGTTTCCTATGAATGTGACAAGCATGTACACTCAGGGAAGAATGTATGTCATTTAACTTGGAACATGCGAGAGATTTTTGGAAAATGGTAGTCCCAGACAGAAACACTCCTCATCGCGCCTGGTGTCAGCCTGTATCTTTAGCTGCAGTTTTTACTGGTGACTCTGTTATCAGGTACAATCATCTCATTACTCATTATGTCCTGCAGTATGGTCATGCCCAAGTATTTCTTTATTGAAATACATGCTTTTATTATAAATCACTTCTCATTTCAATTCCATACTATCAGTGTGACATTATACTGATTAAAAATGGTGTAGGAAAAGAATGAGATCCCACAACACTGCAGATATTTGTTATATTAAAAAGGAAAAGGATATAGGCTTCAACTGTGGGCCTTTTAATGTCCCTGGTGACTTTTGTGTCCATTTTAATGAGTGAGCAGAAACCTTCACTATTGACCCAGTCATGCCCCACCCTCCTTCCCACCACTCTTCCAAAATAGAAATATACCCACTCTTTGATGATGGGCTTATAAACTATAGTAGATACTATAGCTGCTAACCTACTGCACAGCCTAGCTTAGCAGCCTAGTAGACTGTGGAAGTGACCTTTCCCTCTGATTGCATGGTTGACTGGGAGCCACAGCTCCCTGTGGCTCCCCAGCACCTAGAGAGAGAGCACTGTACCACATGTTGTTACCCTGGAGAAAGATCAACATTCACAGTGTGGTTTCTACAGAATGCATATTGCCATCACATAATCACAAAGAAAAATAATTTTAAGGAGAGAAGCATCCTGAGCCAGCCACAGAGTTAGGAGTCGGAGTCGGTGTAGCACTTCGAGGTCTTGAGCATAAGGCTCAGATACATGGCTTTGGCTCATGTGTGGTGGATGACTGGTGTACAGATCCAGAGGATGGACATTTTCATGATTTTCCCAAGAGTGCAATGGAACCTAAGATCCACAGGTAGATTCATCTCTGATGATTGTCCTGCTGGTGGCAGCACCCCCCCTCATATTTCCATTTTTCCCCCCACAGAGAGCTAACAGATGGGCTATGTACAATTTTTGGGAGAGAGCTATTAGCATGTCTCTCTGGCTTTACGCCATCTGCTCCAGACCAAAGTATAATATTCAGAAGAGAAAAAGGCAACACTGGGTAATTGGTACCATGTTGAGGAGTTTACAGATCTTGTTCAATTTTTTCTGGTTGGGGGAGGAGGGATTGTTAAGCCTGAGCTCTTCCCAAGCCTGGGAGCTACTGCTTTTTAGCCACAGGCCATATACATGCCTGAAGGGATACCTCAGTAACAGGACTAAAGCAGCATTGGTCTCAGGGAGCAGCTTCATGGCATCCACTGCAGCTACCTAACAATTTGTTAGCTGGAGACTTGTGTGCAGCAGTGGAGGGATGAGGTGCCAAGAAACATCTGTTTATGTCATAAAAGTTCAGGCATTGCAAACCTCTTTGCTGTTGCAAAAGGGGAATACCCACATTCTCACTTTGCAGTTAAAGGGTGTATGTGCATGTACCTGTTAAATATTGTAATCTATAGCAAGATGCCAGCTCTGGAGACACCTGTACCCATGACTGAGAAAATTAAAACAAAACCAGACTAACCTACAAGAAACACATTGGAAACAAAGGCTTGCTGCATTTGTATAGAACTTGTTTGGTACCTTCTAGCTACACTGCCTCCTTTGACTCACTCATTCATCCAAAAATATCCATGCTGGGTACTTGGCTCTGAATCAGTCTCTAGAGATGCAGAGAAGAGCGGAACAACACCCCTCCCTTTTCTGGTGGGGGGAGTAGATGCTTGAAGTGAGCCTCTGGGGTAGCTATTACCACTCTCTGTTTATTCTTATGCATAGAATTCTACTTCTATGAGGGCAGAGCTTACACCAGCCAGTTATACAAGCAGCAAAGCACAAACGTCTGCTGAGTTCCTCCTGAGATCACACTTGGCCGGCAATATTACAGAGAGAGGTCTTCTGTAACACACAGGTCATGAGGATGTGGCTCTCAGCCCCTCTCTGCGAGGTCCAATCACCACCTCTCATTTTACAGCTGAGCATCTAGGTTCAGTGGATCTGAGGCTGGGACGTCTGCAGCTGGTTTATAGCAAAGCCTTCTTCTCCAGACCATCCAGGCTACCTCTGCCATAGGTAAGCAAGAGACTGAAAAATTAACTAAACTTTACTATATGCATTTTTTTTAAATCCCAAGAAGACAAGGGATGGGAGGAAGTAGGTAGGACAGGGCGTTTGTCCTCTGACTTTTATAACCAGAGCTATGATAATAAAGTAATAACAAGCTTTTCCACATTGAGCATCTACAATTGAGCACCAGCACTTTCAGAGGTCCTTAGTTATCTCATTTAGTTCTCATGATACTGACACAGTGGTTTTTGGTTTTCATTCCTGTTACAAAGATGAAGCTTTGCTTCTGACAGATCATCAGCCCCAACAACTAACTAAAAAGTAAGCCAGACTGGAAGATTCAGAAATCCTTAGCAGCTAGCTATCCTTTGTGTGATATGTGTCACTTCTTTACCTTGTCTCCCCATTGCTGACCAGATAATTTATGTAAGTAGATAGAGATACAACATCTGGCGACATTTTAATACCAGTTGAAGATGTACTGGCTCAGATTACCACCATCTGAAGACTACCTAAAGCATATTTTACATAAAGACAGGAAATAAAAAATACCAATGCAAATTAATTTTATACTTCTGCTTTGAAAACTTTGATCAGATTTTTTTCAATAATCCAAAGAGACAGCATTGCAAAGATCAATAGCTTGACACATAGCTGGTTAAGTAGTAAGATTCCTCAATCTAGCATGGGAAAAAGTACAGTACTTTTCTGCATCTGGCAGTACTGAGTCTGACAAAGGTCTCCAGGGTATTTGTAATCTAATATAAGTACAGGGTGAGACTCAAAACCACACCTAGTGCCATCTTGTCGTTTATAGACAGGATAGAAGTAGGAGAGGATAAACTTCCTCCCCTGGCCCGGAACACTTGTAACCAGGAAGCCCTTCTTCTCCCTTGACCTTTCACCCTCTTGATGTTGTTGTAGTTGAGATATCCTCCTTACCACACCCTCCTCGGCCAGGACTCTGAAGTCTAGTCTCTGCTCTATGCACCACTTCATCCCTACTGTTCTAATGTACTGCATACTCATGTATGCTCTGGCTTATGACTCCAGCTGGAGGGGAACCCTCTGCTAAGTTCAATGTATACCCCAAGCACTTGGAATAGGAGCTGACCTGTAGTGGGCACCCAGCGAACACTTGTAGAGTGAGCATGTCTGGAGATTAGTAGGTATGGGGTCAATCATTGTTATCATTGATCTTTATAGACAAAGCAAAGGGGACAGCAGCGTGGGTATGTGAAGACAAGGCTCCAGCTCAGGGGTGCTCTTGATAGACGTTTTTATTCATATTTTAAACAACACATCCTATTTCATTGTTTGCAAGATTTTAATGTTTATTTTATACTCAGAAAACAACTCATCACCACAACACTATTTCAGAGCCCACCAAAACAATTCAGCTGGAGGAGCTCAGAAATGAATACATTTCTAGGATGCCTACAGAGTCTAAGCTCTGAGTCTACCAACTATATTGCTTCTAAAAGTTTGTAATGATCCCTAAACTCAAGAGGAGGAGCTGCATTCCAGAACAGGGTATGAATTTTTAATTTATATACAATAAAAGCAAGGTTTATATTTAGTAGCAAGAATTAGTTTCTAACACCATATAATTAAAAGTAATTATTTACATAAAAAAGCCCAAGCAGATTTGTATTCTAAAATATTCAAGCTCTCATTTGCTGTTTATAAGAATAACCGCTAAGAAAGAAATAGTGAGCCTCCAACTCAGAGCACAGAGGCAGAGGGAAATACAACACTGTTCCAGGCTCCCAGATAACTAAAAGAACTAACCTCACCTGTATCAGTGGCCATTTCCAAGTAGAGTCTCCTGGCTACCAGGAGTGGCAGATATAGAAACAAAGTATAACCCCTGAGATGCTGCCATTTCAAAATGACCTACTGAACTGTGATCATCTGCATTTTTACCCTTTAGTAAATACAATCAATGCATTTTAAAGGACACTTGGAAAATAAAGAGATACTTTCTAAATCGCTAAATGTTACAGTTTCTTCTTAGTTAACCATTAGCAGTTTACCCCTATTCAACAGGGTTCCCTGTGTGAGTTGGGAACCTCACTTTCCTTGAGCCTAGCAAGGCAGTCCCCTCTACCATCAGGATTTAAGGGGCACGTCTCCTCTTTCCTTTGCACCATCTTTCCTGCCTGTGGCTGAAGGGATCAGGAGGAAACAGACCTTCACTGATTTGTATGGCTGTGTGTATGATGCTATGTCTCTTGAGTCTGGAATTTTCCAGGTGGAAGGAAGCCATCCCTGATTTCCTGGCATCAGCACCCACAGCTTTGTGTGTGACCTCCAACTGTCCACTAACATGGCTGCCTAGTGTCTCTTGGTGAGCCACAGGAGGGAACAGGGCTCCTCAAGTGTTCTAACTGTATTTGGTCCTGGTTCAATTAGTTGTCTGAGGTCCACAGGAAGTAGAAGGAGGAAGGTGGACTTACCTGAGGGTACGGCAGCAGTGCCAAAAGACATAGAGCCAAACACATCTGCACTCCCCGGAAGTGTCTGGGATGACGACGGGAGAAAGGCATCACCTGGGGTTGCAGGAGTCTGTCAGACAGAGAGGGGAGGGGGAACAGATGCATGAGACCTGCTCAGCAGCCCACATAGATGAGGGAGTGAGGTCGGTGTTGATAAAACCAGAAATAGCCCAGGTCACTTATGTGCTCCACTGGCTGATGACAGAAACATTATCCTACCCCACCCCCCTCTTGGGGGGCGGGTAAATGAGCTGCTCTGAGGACTAAATGAAATCATGAATCTAAATGAATAGTTTTATCTAGTTTTTCATAAGCACCATGCATGGGCCTATAGTTTATGCTCAGCACATGATTGGCAGTACGACTGTTCATTTGAGCCACTACCTCTGGGATTTTTCAGGCCACCAACTTACTTTGTCATATATGACTTTCTCCACTTGCAAGCGGCCAATTCAATCTGACGGATACCCACTTGAACCCTACTGTATTCTCTGTTAGAACTTGTCACTTATCAGCTGGTCAGTAAAGAGTTGTCTAAATAAACAAAGGAAGCTCGAGGAGTGGATAGAACACAGGCCCATGTGTCCGGAAGCCTAACCAGCTCTTGCTTCAACCTTCCCTTTGCAAAAGAGGAGGAAATATTTTCAAGAAGATGACTAAGCCATAGCAGCATATCTGGAAACTTCTAGTCCCAACCTGACCTCAGCTGCAGCTCCAGAAAGGTCAGCTGCATGAAGTGCTGGATAAGGGGGAAGTTATCAAACTAAGAACGTCCACTCCCTTTAACTGTAGTCTTTTGCCTACAGTATAAGTCTGCCTGGTGCCATAATATCCTTGTCGGTCCCCGCCTCCTCCGTTGGAACAGACTGGGGCAAGCAATTAATTCTGAAACCATGGCAATTAGACAGGGCCATTTTTAGACCGTCAGCTTCCGGGACGAATGGCATTGTTCTAAGGATTACTAAATACCCATTTGGATTGCACTTGGGTTCAGGGCCAGAAACATAGCCCCGAGCTGCTGCGTTAAGCAGTTTTGCACACCGTCAGAACAGCCCCCTCCCCCACCCCACATATACGGCCTTGAAGAAGTCACATGTCTTCCCTGGGTCTCAGTTTGCTCATCTGTACAATGCAGGGGGTAAAGAAGGAGGAGCCACTCAGGCCCCCTCTTGCCTGTTCTCTAGCCCAGCTGTTATGTACTGAGGCAGCTGTAAGAGTGAAAGGCTCACGAGAGAGGCCTGGCTTCTCTGGGAACAAGACAAGATTGCTATGGACATCAGGGGTTGGGAGCAGGGCAGCTGTGCCTGGATTCCCCAGTGGCAGCTGTGAGCTGCAAGGTCTCAGGCCATCTGTCCTCGGTGGTGGGATCACAGCCCTTTCTCTATGAGGTGCATTCCACCTATGCCTCTCTTTGCACAACTGTGTGCAGCCTCTCTCTCTCTCTCTCTCTCTCTCTCTCTCTCTCTCTCTCTCTTTCTGGGGAGCAGGCAGGGGAAGGTCATGCATGCATCGTAGTGGCTTCTGCAATGACAGGATTGTTCATCACAGGGTCTAGTACTAAGGTTCTATTCTTCTTCGTTTTTAATTCAATTTTTTTCTTTCTTTTCCTTCTCTATTTTTATTTAATCTGTACTTTTAAAGGAAGGCTCTATGCAATCTCAATCCTCTTGCAAGCAATGCCCTGGGTGCCCTTACTGACCTGTGGCCGTGAACCCAGAGCTTCATGAGTGGCTCAGGGAGGCACAATGGTCATGCTTTCCAAGACACTAAGGCAAGCCAATGGGGGATGAACACAGTAAAGTGGGAGGAGAGAAAGGAAATGGGGAGGAAAGAGAAGAATGGAACAGAAAGGCCTTCCTTTCCTTAGCTGCCACTTGTGCTGTGGGGGACCAGGTCCATAGTGATACATGCCTGCTCATGCTTCCTGCCATGTAGAGTTTCGTGTCTATATTCTCAACTTAGCTATCAGCTCAAACTATGTATCTTTCCTGGCTCTCTTCTTAGAGCCTTAAGAGGAAGCCACAAGCAATGTCCTATGGTCGCTCTAAGCACGGTGTCATTTGTTCCTCAAATCAGGAGCATTGATCCTAATTCCTTCCTTATAGTAGCGGAGCCTGAGTTTCAGGAGCATTAGTTGAAATACTCAAATAACACAGCTTAGCTCACAAGAGCCAGAGTTGAAATTTACCAGCCAGGCTCTCTCACCAAAGCCCAGATTGTGTCACTGTGTGGCTGGTGAAAGAAGGGCTAGGCAGCAGGGTTCAGAGGGTGGTGTGTACTTACTGGGGGAGAGGTTATATCAGGAGGGGTGGACATGTCTCCAAAAAGTTCTAACTGGGTCACAGCCTGGAAAGACACAAAAGGAATCATGTAAGCATGAGATGAATGTTGCCAGGCTTGCTTTAAGATGTTATATCATGAGAATAATCGCCCCTTTGCTCCGTTACCACCATGGAAATGGTAAAGCCAGTCACTCCCTACTGCACTTCATGGTTCCAAGGCCATAGAAAGAAATGCAGTCCTATGAACTATTTCTCTCAAGAGTAGAACTACCCATCCAAAAGCTACCCACCTGTAAGAATGGCAAGGAACTATGAGGTTCTTTCTCAGTTAATGCCTCCAACAGCACTAGCCCTGAGAGATAAGATCCCTTAGTCACAATGCTTTGTAAAGAAATAGATTCGCATAGAGGTGACAACGACGTCACACAGGTCAAGATTTGTAATTTCTATATAGACAGCATGCAGTCAAATATGTATTCCTATGAAGTCTGTCTTTGGGATAAAAAATGTGGTTGAATGAAAAGAAAACATTTCATTTAATACCAGGAAGGGCATCAAAACCAGCCCAGTATACACACTATCAATCACTCCCAGGAACTCTATGCCTACAGACACAGCTCCATCCATCTTCCCATCCATCATACAGGGGGTGTGAGAAAGCCTGACCAGAAGAGCAGAAGAACCCTTTTAAGATACAGTTAGAAATGAATCTGCATACACTTTAGCTTTAGGGACCATAGGGATTCTTTGGCCAGGAACCAAATGTCCTGACTTAATTATGCAAAGCGTATAATTGCACACTTTGTGTGAAGCTGTCCACTGAGCAAAACCTACTTCCCACTCATCTTCATATCTTAAGTGAGGGCTTCCAGTGCAGGAAACAGCAAAAAAAACAGTTAACAGATGGCACAAGAAGAGGCTGGCTGCACTGCTACTCTGGTCTCCATGCAGACATTCAGCTCCAACTTTGTCATAGTTGGATCTCTAGGATTCATACCAAAAAAGAAATGGCTATTGCTTCTGAAGAGTGAGCCAATTTTGAGTTCAGGAGAAGGTCCCACTGTTGGGTATGTATGTTGATTCACTTCCCAAGCTGGGTGCGAGAGCTGATATGTTAGATTTATCATCCCTAGTCTGAAAGCTCTAAACCTCAGATATTCCAAATCTCAAACACTGAGTGTTGATATGATGCCATAAACAGAATATCCAATAAGGGACTTCCCATAAGGGTCATGGTAAAAAAAAAAATGCTAGCATACTAAACACATACACACACACACACACACACACACACACACACACACACAAAATGAAGTTATGAGTAGAAGTATAATGAAACAAAAAGGAATTTGGTGTTTAGACGTTGGTTCCATCTCCAAGGTTTGTCCTTCTGAATATGTCTCAACTTCAGATCCCAATCCATGTTTGGTTCCAAGCATTTCTGAAAAGGGATGCTCACACTAGCAGAGCTTGTTTGTTCTCCTATTTGGCTAAGCTTGGTTGAATGGCACAGAAGACTTTTCCTGAACAAGAATGAAGCTCCGCTGTGTGAGTGTCACTCCCAATCCTCCCCCTTGGACTCTCAGATTGAACAACAGTACCAGGCACACACAAAGTGTTTTGTTTCGTCTGAAGGATACAACATTCTCCCTGCAAATCTTGAAGAAGCATAAGGTGCTGGGTGCTGTATTTGGTGTTAGAAGCATAGAAAGGAGAATGCCAAGTCCCAACTGCAGGCAGTAGATGGTCTGTTGGGGGATTGTAGTCCACAGATGCAGACCACTTCAAGATAATAGGACAGAAAGGGTGGCCAAAGCCTCTGTTGGGAAACTGGAACCCAGTCAGCTAGGGGCAGAGAATTTGGTCAGAGCTTTCTAAAGGAAACAGCTTGTCCCCAAAATCCAGCAGAAGAGGTACAGTTAGCTTGGTGACAAAGGTGTGGAAGACAATATGGAACTGTAAGAGCCAGGAAGAGCACTGGAGGAGGGCAGAAGCTGTTTGGTCTTACCAGCATGGACCTCTCTTGGGAGAGGACATGGCAATGGGACTGGCCGAGGCTATTAGAGGCATTTGTGTACAAGTCAGTCTCCTCCACGGACTCCAACTCCTTCCCTCTCACACAGTGATGGGCCAGCAGCTGATGTGTGAGTGATAGCTGTCGTGTAGCATGTGTGCTCCTGAATCTGGACTCTCCTGGTTTTCCTCATTCCTTTGGTATGCCAACACCTCACCTGATAGGGTGAAGCCTACCCTTTGGACCCTCTCCTGCTGCATGAAAGACTGACTCTGCCTAATGAATTCAGCTGAGGCTCCCGGGTTTCCTGGAGTCTGGATCTCCATGCTTATAAAACAGCTCAGGACTATTTTCAGCGTTGGGAAAATATTAAAATGAAGTTAATAATTAAGTCACACAATTTACATCTCAAATGTGTTGAACTCGTGGCATACTTTTACTAACATCGTAAAGATAATTTATTGGCTAATTTTCTCCTTAAGCACAACTTTTAAAATAACCTTCTTTCTTGAGATATAGCCCTTCCTCTTGCCAAATGATTTTCACTCAAGGATTAAACGAGAAAAACATGGGGAGGCATAAAACATAGGCTGTTATTTCGTTTCATTGGATTTGCTGTTTAAATAGAACCCCGAGTTAATTAAATTTTATAGAAAAAGGGGGTTCTTGGGCCATAAAATTAAAAATAATCTGAATAACCACGGATGATGGAGAATCAGGAATAGTATCTATTTTCATTGCCCTCCCCACATGAACCCCAGCCACTTATTTGTAACCTAATAAACCATGTTCCATCTGAAAATATCTGAAAATACTGTCCTCATCCATCATGTTAAAGGCCTCAGGAGAATAAAGCTAAGAGTTCACATTTGTAAAACACTTTACAGCTTACAATAAGCATTCCCATACATTATCATCATGTTTGACACTGCCTGAGCTCCATGGTCACAGTCCGCACTTTACAGATGCTTTAACTGAGGCTGAGGTAAGTGATGGGGACCTGAGGATTGGATGCGCTGACCCACAGAGTAACCACACCCTTTCAAAGTCTGTCTGCTGATTCACCGGTTTCTGCTCAGCTTTTCTTAATGGTGGTAGTAAGCTCGAAGACATCCTCCAACTAGAAGCCTCAGTTCTCAAGAGGCCTGCTATGGTACACACCTGTGGGAGTCCATTAGCAGCTTTAGCCGGAGATGTCTGCTCATGCTAGAGGATTGCCTACCAAGACTAGCTTCCAGAGGTCTTCTGGTAGAGGTATAGTTCTAGGTGGCAGATGTGTTTCCTTTAGAAGATACTGCGTATTTTGCAGCAGTAGGTGGGGGTGATGCTGAGGCTGCTAAGGCCAGTGTTGGAGAAATGAAGGCGTTGAGAGGTTTGGGTCTATCCCCTTGATATCTCCCATTAGGCCTGGCCCTAGCCCAACCACTTTGATTTAAAATAAGTGGCAGTTTTCCAAGTATATGGAACACTGTACAGCTGCTATCCCTTCTTTCAACATGACTGTCATGAGGTGACACAGTTGAGGGATGAGAAGCCATGGGCTGACCTCCACAGCATATCCTCTCACAGGCTCACTCCCCATGTTTTGGCAACAGGAGAGCCTGGAACCCTTCAGGATATGTGTAGGAATTCGTACCATGCATTGGCTACTGTGCCAAGAGCAGGGACACAAGCCTGAGGACATCATGCTCTTGCCCCTGTGTTCAGGAGATGGATGCTTTATGGGAGGCAGACTTACACAGTCAGTCTACACAGTGCTAAGGAGGACAGAGTCCAGAGGATCTGAAAGGTGACACATCTTAGGGCCTCTGCATGGGCTCTTTCCAGTCAGTCATGCCTTTCCCCACTGCCCTCTCCTCTTTCTCTCAGAACACAAAGACTGTGTTGAATTTTCCCACCAGCATATCCGGGATGTGTTAGGAGACCTCTAAAATACTGGTTGAATGAAATTAGGGGGTGCTATTTTCTTTCCAATACCCCGTATCTTACACACACACACACACACACACACACACACACACACACACACACACCCTGTTTGTACATACACACTTCCTACTGAAACTCATGGCACCCTTTGTTTTCCTGTGAACATTCCAATGAGCACCTATGGGAGCAGCAGAGAGTAGAACAATCGCCATTTATGCGGGTGGACGAGGACACCACAGGACACATGAGGATAAGCAGATGGACTCTAATTTAACAGGACCCTGGCAGACTCACCTTGGTTGCCTCAAGAAGCTCATCAAAGTCCATTGACGGGTTCCCGTTCTGCAACCACAAGGCATGATGGATGAGCATGGAATGAGTGATGGTCCGACAACATGAAACAGTTAAACAGACAAGGCCCTCGCATTCTTACCGGCGTGGCTGCAGCAAAGCGTGCTTCGAAATCCTCCAGCGGCTGGCTATTCTGCAAGTGCAAGGGATGATGAATGAGGATGGAGTGAATGACACACAGATGACATGGATTTATGGGTTTAATGATGACGGCAGCCATGGTTTACACTCCCACGGTCTCAGTAGGCGGGAGCCGATTCTGATGGATGGTGGAAAGCCTGGGATATGTTTCCAGCATAACCAGATGATAAAGCATGGGACTGATCGGGAGTCACAGCGGCAGCACGTCTGTAAGCCGAAAGTCCATCTTCCTGAGATTATGCACCCCACTCAGCTAGGCACAGAGGCAAGAGCCAACATGTCTACACTGAACAGTCTTCTTTGAAAATGAAGACATCCCATCCTGTAATCTTTGCCACACTCAACTGTTTCTATTGCTGATTCTTTTGACTATTTATGATATACAAAATAATGGGGTCCATTATTCAATTTTCATATTTATGCACACACATCCTCTCATCATCAGCCAGTTGTACCTGACTTTTGTGCTACTCCTTCTCTTTGCTCAGCCACCTCTTCTTATTCCAGTAAGCTCAGTGTTCCCTACTTTCCTAAGCCCAGGTAATTACCACCGCTGCTACGAAACTTTGAGTCCTCGGTGCCTCAGCTGCACCTAGCTGCTCTATAGCAAGTACTTTCACATGTGCAATTTATTCCCAAAATGCCCGGCAGCACCCCAGGGTCTACTATATAGCATTGCCCAACAGAAATGAATGAATCCATGTTTTAACAAGTGGCTGGCAGCTGGCCAAAACTAACTGTTCTCTTAACTTTTAATTCTATTGTATATATCATGTATTAGAAGAAATGTATAATATCTACCACACATGCATATTTTAATAACCTTGTTTTGGTCTATACATACAAGCTAATTATTCTTTGGATAATTTCCAAGTAGCTCAATGCTAATAGCATCTGTGCCGACTGGCATTTAAACCGCGTCATTGCGCATGAGCAGAGAGATGACAAGGCTTCCTAAGTTTGAGCAGGGCTTGGTCCACTCATAAAATACTGTTCATTTGCCAAAATCACCTTCACTTTCTCCACAGAAATTGTGGCTGCTACTTCCTTCATCCCCAGCCACAGGATGTGGCATGGGGTGGGAGAATCAAAGCACCCAGGACCACTGTCATTTAGAACAAACACCAGTAGACTTTGTCACCTGTCTCCACCAGTGTCTAGCTCACCATGACTCACCCATGGTGACAAGATGAAAAGTTGCCTTGTGCAATAACTACAGAAATACTGCATACACTACTATTGGCATTGATTATTACTATTATTATTTAGCTACAGGTGTGTCGTCTAGGAGACCATGTAATCTATGGTGTGGCCCAGAAGGTTAAGGTTATGTCGCTACATCCCTTATAAATTCACATACTCCTGGGGATTTATGGCTGGGCCCCTACCAACTAGCTCTGGGTCATAACTTTTAATAAAAACATTTTTTAGTGTCCAAAATCTCATTACATCTGTCCAATATAAAAAAGCAAATGGCTTCAGAACATGATGGATGAATTAAATAAATTTGAAAAACAGCCTGTGGTGGAGTCTCATAAAAACCTCACCATGTCCCACATAATGAAAATGTGGGAGGACCTCTAGCATCGGCGTGTGCCTGTCACCTTCCCAGTGACAGAAGACGTGGCCTCTGGGAAGTTGCAGAGGTGAGGCGGATTGAGTGACTTCTGTACATCCAGAGGAAGCTCAGTCTAGGAATCTGGATAAATATGTGTCCCAGGAGTCATGCTGGTCATGCCACCTCTGGGTCACATGATTCTGAAACTCAAGGAGCCCCACTTTTCTCCATTTCTAGGTAGGAGTGTGGAGGCATTCTCTGAGTCTTACTGAGAAGTGTGCATAGCTTTGTCTGGTATTAGGTGCTCAACAAATCATGGTTATTATTTAGTACCTTCTCCTACCCCTTGGCTCATTTTAACAACATATTTGCACGTGTTCTTTCATCTGAGGAAACTATTCTTACATGATGTTGGGAACTAGACTAAAGAATCTTTAGTCTGCTGGCTCCATTTCCTTCCCTGGTCTTATTTCTAGGCAGTGTCACCAGATCATCTTTCTTCCTGGTGATATCTCTGATACCTTTGGTCTGCTGCTGTCTTCAGACTTTGGCTTGGTCAATGCTCCAGGCTCGTTCCACCCTGTAGTATGAGCTTAGGTGACAGTGAACACCATCTGGCCAGTGGAGAGGTATTTCTAGCCGATGCCCCAGTTCCCAGCTGAGACTCACGCCTAGGTCCTGGAGCCCATCCCTTGGCTCCCGCCCAGCACTTACTTTACCCACACCTAATGCAAGACTTTTGGCTTGGCTTACCAGTTAGCCTCAAGTCTTGACTTTTCTTCTGGTGTCCCCCCACCCCCATTTGCTTTGTATTTTACTTTTTAAAAACTCAACAGGCACAACCATTCTATGAGCTCAGCATTCTGAAAAGAGATTTCGGGGACTCCATTTTCCCTCACTACTTCATATAGTTCTATCCTGACTCTTGAAGAAGACACTGAAATAAAGTTCTCATGGGCAGTTTCCTTTCCCATAGCAGGGGAACGATGGCTCCACACTGGGCCTTGGGAGGAGAAGGGAGACCAGAGTGATGGCCCTTGTGCAGTAAAAATGACAGTGGATGAGATAGGCTGTGGGGTACAAACATCAAATAGAAGGAAATCATATTTATGGCTGACAAGTCAGGAACTTGCCATGGTTTACAATGTAATCTTGGGCTGCATAACACAATCCTATGGGGAGGTGTTTACAAAACTCTGAGATCTGAGCCCCAGCCTCTGTTATGGGATTCTGCTGGAGGCGGAGTGGCAGGTGGTGGTTTTGCCAGGTTTCCATGGGTCCTCAGTGACTCTGATGTGCAGCTGGCTTTTCAAATTGCTGTGCTGGGGAATGGATTCTCTTCAAGAATAATCAGTGAGCGTCCTATTGGGAGAACCAAAGGCATCCTGATTGATTAGGTAATGGATTAATTAAGGCCTTCAACAAACATTGCTGGTGTATTTACCACCTGCTAGGACCTAGACAGGTGCTGGAGGTACAGTGGTGACTAGTACATGGTCTGTGCTCTCTACAGGACCGTGAGGTGCATTCCTTGTCACCTGAGGTGGACGGGAATGGGCATATGGGAGGGGACAAGGCTTTTAGATCTACGCTAGGACCTAGGCCAAGGCTGCAAAAGAATCAATTCGATTATCCATTTAGATGGCCCAGGAGGAATGGATTAACTTAAGTGATTTGTAACTGTGCACAGGTGGGTAGTATTAAGGATACCTAGTGATTGCCAGCACCCGAACGCATGCTACTTTCCCAAGTGCATGATTTAACAAAGCAAGGCACATGCTAATTAAGACTAATTCTCATGGGGATATCCAGCAGATTATGCTCCGCACCACTTGTAGCAAAGAGGAGACGGGCCACTTTCTACTTCTTAGGAGACAGTCAAGAAAAGCTCTGCTTGGGAAGTGAACTTGGGTGGGTGCAGCTGGGGGAGGATGATGAACTACTGTGTTGCTATGTGATTCTACCCCAGAGTAGCACTGCCTGGCACTGCCTGGTAGAACCTCCTATGATGGCAGAGAGTCCTGTATCTCTTCAGTCCAAGCTGGTGGGAGACGTACGCTGGGTACCGCAGAGACGCTTAATGGGAATGATTTGTAAAACTTCCTTTGGATTAGTTTCACCTTAAATAGCCACAGGTTACAACTGCAGGAGCTAGCACAACTAGACAGAAAGTACACAACAAAGGAAACAATCAGCCATGCTTCCAGTGCTGGACCCTTTCTCAACACCAGTCATCTCCTCCCTTGTGCAGTTTCTTCTGTTTTGTTGAATAATCTCCCATACTTGCACTGACTGGAAATTTTCATTTGGAGAATTTAGTTCCTTGCTATGTCTAGAGAGTACCACGAAATCACCGAGTTCAGTTTGCAATGACTGCAACCACCTTCTGGATGGAAGTTTTCTCATTGTCTGGTCTAAGCCAGAGCCAGACACTTGTGAGTCTTTGAAAGGGAAGTTTCGAATGGAAATTTATGAAGCAAGTTAAGATTCACGTTTCAAGTGGAAATTCATGAAGCCTCACCAAATGAAATAGAGCAGTCAAATGAAGTAAAACTCCACTTACTACCAAAGTGTGCCAGGCCTTACAAGGTGCAACCTTGACTCCTGTTAGACACTATGCTATGGTTTAATGGAGGGCCTGGAGCTCATGTGAGGACTTAGCTTGGGAATGATTGAAAACTGGTCTCTAAGTACCCCAGGCTGGGCATCCTTTTGCAGCCAAAAGCTCTTCATTCTCCAGCTATTGTTTCAGGATGGTCCTGAGGAATTTCTGGAAGCTTGATGGATAATATGCTTGAATGCAGTAATGAAGATGACATTTTTCCTCAAAGAGCATATGGTAGGCTATGTGTTCAGTCCCTCAGACAATAAAACATTTACACCTGACTTCCTTTTTTTTTTAAATAAAAAGAATCATGTTTATTTTCCTCTTTAAAAAATAACTTTTGACCTAGAGTCATAGATTTCAAAGACATATCATGCTTGTGTTCAAGCCAATTTTTTTTTATTGGATGTTTTATTTACATTTCCTATGTTGTCCCCTTACCCCATCCCCCACCCACCCCGGAACCCCCAATCCCCTCACCCCTCCTCCTTCTTCTCTGTGGATGGAACTAGAAATTATCATCCTGAGTGAGGTAAGCCAATCACAAAAGAACACACATGGTATTAACTCACTGATTATTGGATATTAGCCCAGAACCTTGAAATGCCCAAGATGCAACTCACAGGCCACATAAAGTCCATAAAGAAGGAAGACCAAGTGGGGGTGATTCGGTCCTTCTTAGAAGGAGCAACAAAATACTCAAGGTAGCAAATATGGAGACAAAGTGAGGGACAAAAACTGAAGGAGGGGCCGTCTGAAGACCTTTCCACCTGAGTATCCATCCCATGTGCAGTCACCAAAGGTAGATGCTGATGTGGAAGTCAGGAAG